GCACACACCTGCTTGTCCATTAGACAAGCATTTATCTGGATTGGTTTAGTAAAAAATAATCTAGCTTAGAGCAAAGAGTTTGTGTCTTAAGGTCCCTTCTCTATTTTCCATGTTGTGTGAAAGGGGTTAACTGTGAGCAGTTGACTATCATAATTAGCATCAATGGCAAGAGGGTAAGGACTCAGGATAGAATAAGGGAGGAACACGTTAGAGACTACATACATAGGTGTTTTCAAGTCAGTTTGGCTTGATGATATTCACCCTGAGGCAGGGATGAACACCCTATGGATAGATCTAATTCATGAAGAGGCTTGATCTCACCTGCAAAGATTTGATCTAGCCCATGACAGCGACTGGTGGCAGAGAGAATCAGTAAGGTGTGGCCATGATCAGTGACTGGGGGGAAATTAGTGGGCTGGGGGTGGCAGGGGGTGGGTGCTGGAGGCACGTGGCAAGAGTTGACAACATTTGGTGGAAGGCACTGGAAGGGGATGGGATGTAGCCAAGTTGCAAGCAGCAGCCTGCCTTAGGGATGAACCATGTTATTTTGGCCCACTAGTAGGAAAAAGTTGCTGACCTTGCCCTGAATTGCTGATATACATTTGTGTCTTCTCTTCTCTTATCATGTAGGCTCTGCTAGCATCTGTCTGAAGCATTTTTTTCATTTGTGTTCACTGTGTTGTAAATAATCATCTTTCTCTTCATCTTATGACACGGCCAGTTTTCTAAATTAGGTTTTGAGCACAAACAAAGCAAGTGGACACTTGGGTTGAAACCCTGGCAGACCTCTCTCAGATGAAATAAATAGAATAGAGTGCTTAGTCATTTTGTGTCCAAAGTGCTATTGCAAGTCAAAACATCAGTGCGTATAGATAATATAGTAGCATGCTTGTTTACTTGACTAATTTAGAAAAATTGCTTCCACAATTTTTGGGCAGTGAAATCATGAATCATAACTAAAAACTCTATTTCTTGAAGAACATCAGATTCCAGACTCACCAGGAACAAAGAATTCAGCCTTGTTTGTAGTATACAGCTGCAAAGCTCATTTTAAATCAGTTTGACATTCAAAAAGTGACATTCACTTCTGTTATGTTATGTTACTAACGTTGTTACCATCATAAACAAGAAAAATCTATAAAAAAATAACAGTGGCAGGGGATGTGGAATCCAGCTTGTCAGTCTTTATCTTTGAATAAAGGCTTTCCATGATCAATGATTCTTCTGATTATGAGATGTATTACCTATTAAGCATAGGGTGTCGGTGTGATCTGATTCCACCCTGCTCAAGTCACTGTAAAACAGTTAATGCAAAGAGTGGATGGGCCCTCCTGCTTGCTGCTTTTTGTGATTTAGTCTTAAGGGTAAGGTGATGGTTGGTTACAAAAGTAGGCACATTAATTTGAATAGGGTGGAAAAGACATCTAGATCTACTTTAATATTTAATATCTGAAATGGCATCTGGCCCATAATGTTTTAAAAAAATGAAATTCAGAAGATCTGCTTTTTCCAGGTCTTTATAGTAAAAAAAGGCAAGTTTCCCATCTTTGTCTATTATTTCCTAGCAGTCTTAATTTATGGTAGTGAAGTGGTAGGAGTTGGTGGCAGGGGAGTACCCCCAAGTTTTGTAAAGAAATTGAATTCATTGTTGTTATTTTTGAATCCTTCACTTCTTGCAAAACCATCACAAAACAGAACGAAGCAAAAATCCTCTGTCCTTTCCAGATATTAAGAGAATAGCGACTTTCACCATTGGCTGTCCCCCAATAAAGCTGCCTGGCTTCTTCTCCTTGCAGATTGTTCCTGCACAGGCTGTCCTTTCTGTTCTTCTGTCTGGGTTTTAAGCTCCCCATGGGGGATTCCCTCATTTGCAGAAGGCCCCACAGCTCCACATCCTTAACAGGACTGACTGGCCATTCTTAAGGGGATAGACCACACTGTTACATACCTTTGCCTTCCCCCCACCCAAAGTGGAATCTGAGATTCACTGTTCCAAATTTGGGTCCCATTCTTCTTGTGAAAAGAAATCTTCATTGGTGTATGCAGATCCTGATTAATGGCAAACCTCAAAGAGATAAGTTTATAGTGCCAGGTAACAACATTTCAGTCTGGTTGGCTTCTCACATTGCTTTCAGCCATGTTAAAGGGGCATGATTGGTAATGAGGAGCTAGTACCAGAGGTCCTCAATTGCTCACTTCATGGCACAGCACTCCCTAGTCCCAGAGTAATTGTACTCACTGGGAAGAAGCTTCCTTTTTAGTTTGGAATCAGGGGTTCTCCATCTTCAAAGTCCTAAGCAAGAATGGCTTCAAGGCCTGACTCTAAAACATCCGTTTGTAAAATAAACCTGTGATTGAAGTCCAGACTGTGCAACACTGGAGCAATATACAGTATCTGTTTTGTTTCTCCAAATGTCCCCACACATGCTGGAGACCGCTGCACAAATTGGGAGGCTATATTGCTTGATTTGTGTGTTAGTGGAATGCTTACTGGTGAGAAATGCAGGATAAAGCCAATCCAAGGAAGGATTTCAATTACTTTTTGGGTACTGGGAAGTCCATTAAGACCTCTACCTTATCAGTGAGGGGTTTAATCTCCCCATTTTCTAAAGTGTATCTCAAATATTTGGTTTCTGTACAGCTGAGTCCTTTTTTTGCCGGATCTGTGATAAGGCCCATGGCCCAAATTGGCATGAGTGGTTGGACTGGCTGTGTGTGTTGCACACAGTACATGGTGCCAGAATGGGGCATCTGCTGCATGAAGCACCCTGCTGGACTGTCACTGCATGCCGGCTCTGACACTTCCTGCTCTGGACCAGACCTAGAGCATGCAGCACACAGGGCTGGGGCCAGCACCTGGGGTTGGTCCAGAGACCCACAGGCTAGATCATACAGCTCTACACATTGGATCTGGCCCACGGGTCATGTATTAGATAACCCTGGCCTATAGGAAATGTTCTGAAGCACAACATAATAAACCACAATAAGTAATGAAGCTGATGTAATTTGGGATGGTTTAGTTGATTAACTTTTATATTTGGTTATCCTTTCTTGGGGAAAAAAAATAAAACAGGTTCCAGGCAATATCTACTTTGAGAATCAGTAAAAGAGATAAGAGGCATAGTGGCAGAGCCCTGCTCAAGACTCATCTCAAAGGCTGCCCCTAGTCCACTCAGCAGTGAATGGGTACCTGGTCACTCAGGCTAGCTCATGAGAAATAACTGTATTTAACACTAGCCTTGCCTCTCCCTTGTGTGCTGCTGACTCCTGTCTTAATCATGCTAGTCTAGTGGGCCATTAGCCTTAAGAGAACATTTTACTCTGACCTTTTACTCTGACTAGCCAGCTATCCAAGGAATAAACTACCTAGATCCTGTCTGGATATCTTCTGGATAGTCTAGCATTTAACTAGTTCTTCAGAGCAAGTTACTGAAAATAGGGAAAGATGAAGCTAACATCCAGGGTTAACTTCATTGCACCCATACTTTCAGGCGCACACCACTAAAGGCCATTCTACCCTGGAGCAGTGTACTTTCATTTCCTACAGTGCTAGATAATATGCTTCTGAAATGTTTGTTCTAATCTCTGTCCAGGCCATGGTTGGAATGAGGTCACTGTGTCTGTACCAGCTGCTGCTGGATTTGCAGCAGGGCTCAGGATCCCTGCAAAGGCAGAGTGGGAGAGTTTGCAGAAAGTTGTTGCTTGCAGGAGCATATACATGTTTTTGACTGGCTCCTGAGGCAGGAGAGGGGAGGAAACTCAGCCCTGGGGACTCAGCCAGGCTCAGAGAAAGGAAGGAGCCCTGGGACCACAGAGCTCAGGGGGGAACTACCCTGCAGCCTGCCTGTGAAGTGAATATGCCCTTAGTGATGGGGAGAAGACAACCTGATATCCTTTTTCCCTCTGTGAGGCAGAGGCACCCATGTGGGGGACAAAAGGGGTGGTAAGGAAGACTTGCCTAGGAGGGCAGGCTTGATCTGAGAAGGCTCTGGGGAGAGTTAACTGAGAACCAGCCTGGGGCCGGGTGGGTGATAAACCCAGGGTTGTTTCAGTTATCAGCAAAGGGGGTCATGTCTGGGAATTGGAGAAAGGTGCTTTTGGGGAGCGGGGACAGTGTGTGTTTCTTTGCAGGTACCACAGCCAGCTGGAGCAGAGGAGAGCTGCTCTTCCCCATGAAGCTCTAGCAGAGAGCAGGACTTTCTGAAGCAGCAGCACCAGCCATGGGTATTGTGTTGCCCCTGTGAAGGACAGCTGATGTCTTGTTAACCCCATGTGCTTCTGCTGAAATTCACTGCAGTCTCAAGGTTTAACCTGGGGAGTGGTACTGAGAGGTACTGTTCAATTTCTTCATCAGCGATCTGGATGATGGGGTGGAAAGTAACCTGTTTAAATGCACTGATGACACCAAAATTTGGGGGGAGGTGAGCACGCTAGCAGGGAGGGAGAGATTGCAGAGGGATCTGGATAGGTTACAGGGGTGGGCTAACAGGAACAGGATGCGTTTCAATACGGACAAGTGCAGGGTGCTGCACTTGGGCAGTAGGAACCAGCAGCACACTTACACAATGGGGAACTCCCTACTCGAGAGCACGGAGGCAGAAAGAGATCTTGGAGTCATTATTGACTCCAAGATGAACATGGGCCGACAATGCGAGGTCATGGTTGGCAGGGCTAACCGGACCTTGTCGTGCATCCACAGGTGCATCTCGAGTAGAGCCAAGGAGGTGATCCTCCCCCTCTACGCGACGCTGGTCAGGCCACAGCTGGAGTATTGTGTCCAGTTCTGTGCGCCCCATTTCAAGAGGGATGTGGACAACATGGAGAGGGTCCAGAGGAGGGCCACCCGCATGATCCGGGGACAACAGGGCAGACCCTACAGTGAGAGACTGCGGGACCTGAACCTATTCAGCCTCCACAAGAGAAGGCTGAGGGGGGACCTGGTGACCGTCTATAAACTCACTAGGGGGGACCAGAAGGGTTTGGGGGAGACGCTGTTTCCCCTAGCGCCCGCTGGCATAACAAGGAGTAATGGGCACAAGTTGATGGAGAGGAGGTATAGATTGGACATCCGCAAAAACTACTTCACAGTTAGGGTGGCTAGGAGCTGGAACCAACTTCCAAGGGAAGTGGTGCTGGCCCCTACCCTGGGGGTCTTTAAGAAGAGGCTGGATGCCTACCTGGCTGGACTCATTTGAGTCCCGTTTCTCTTTTTGGGGTTTTTTTGTTGTTCTCCTGCCCTGGCGGGGGGTCGGGCTAGAAGATCTACTAGGTCCCTTCCGACCCTTAATCTATGAATCTATGAATCTATGAGGGTGTCTTTGATTCAATTTGTACAGTGTTTTAGTTCATTGATACCCGCCTTCAACAATTAGATTAATGATATCCTGCTCTGCTGTTAGCCTCATGCATATGTTGACTGTACTGTAAATAATAAACTGTGTAAATAGTTAGACTGTATGTACTCCAGTGTGTGGGGAAAGCACTCCACAGAGAGGTGGCCCCAGCCTTAAGGGCTGGGAGGTTGACCAACGCTGTTTGACACCCCAGGACCCTGAATCCAAACGTGGCCACAGGTAGCACTGTGGCTAGGGTTACATGTCTCTTCCTAGGGTTAGAACAAATAGAAAAGCTCTCCAAATCTATATTCCCTTAATAACATAATTCCCTAAATTGTGATGAGAGGATGTCTCCTAGGAAAGGCAGTAGGAGGAGAGACATGTCAAAATAAGAGTTAAAATAACTCTCAGATGGAGATGACAAAAAGTGAGGAGATAAGAGCAAGCTGAAATATTAAGAGGGTTAGGGGAAGTGAATGAAGGAGGGAGTAACTGGAGGAAGACAAAGTGGACAGAAAGAATGGGGAAGAAGGACTTCTCAAGATGGAAAATTAGTGTACAAAGAGTCAGAAGGAGAGCTGGATCTCCTGAGCTCAGTAAATCTCTTCACTGCCCTGCCTGGAAGAAAACTGGAAGGGCCATGAGCTGAAACTGCTCAGCATAAGCAAAGATAATCGAGTAGGTATTTTAGGGGACCTTCTGCACTGCATGTACCCTTTGAAATGTAGATAACACTGTGATGACAAAGAGCAAGCAAACTGAGAGCTGCTCCAAGCACACAAACAGGGTTTCTTTTTTCTTTCCTTTCTTTTTTATTGAGAGAGAGAGTTGCTGTGCTTGAGGCAATACCACCCAGATGGCTGCTCATTCAATGGTAGGAAGGCTCTTGCACATCTCAGGAACACATTTTGGAGTAAGAAGACTTTGCTTTTCATAGAAAAACCTTATTTTTATGTGTGTTTGGAAATCTCTGACGTGTTTGGGCCTAGCTTAAAGTTGTCAGAGCTGAAGGTGCTCAAGTGTTGCGTGCTGTCTCTTCAGCTACAGAATGAAAGGAGGAAGGAGAAATGTGTTTCCTTTTTTTGCCTTTCCTGTAAGGCAGGGAGTGAAGATCTACTCTTCAGTTTCCCTGATTTAAATTCTGCTATTTTATCAAGGAGAAAGAATACATGGTTGACCTTTTCCCTCTAAGGCAGGGTTTTTTGCTGAGGCTGAGATGACATAACAAGCAAAAAGAAAATCTTATTTAATAAAGAAATAAGCAATAGGTTTGGCATTCTAGAAAAGAAAAGGCCTGACACAGGAGTTATAATAGCGTTAACCTCTGGCTTTGTGTGTGGTCCACAGTTGATGTGTTTTGAAAAGCAGGGTTTGCTTGCCCCATTTGACTGAGGAGAGAGAGCTGAGAGAGAAAGAGAAAGAGAAGAGAACCAATGCCACTGCTGACCATAAAATTGCAGTCTTTTCTTTCTGGTTACAGGAAGAGCCCAGGAAATCAGAAGATCAGCTGCTACCATGTGAGACACAGATCAACCTTGTTGTCATGGCATAGTGTAGTTTTGATTTGAGCTTTAAAACACCACTCCAGCACCCAAAGTTTTAGGTTTCACACAACACAAACTGAGTTCAGCAAACCACTTTGTGCTTAAGCTATTGTTTTAAAATTAAAATTTGTATTTATAACTAAGTGAAAAACCTGTGCCGTGCAAACAAAAAACGGTTATTGTTTAAAATTAATTCTTGCCCAGTTGGGAACATGTCCAGAGCTCAGATTTTGCCAGAGCCGAATGGAAATTGAACTTCAAACATTTCCAGTTTATTCTAAATCTACAATGCAGGATTATGCAGAGTGCTCTAAGGGCCAAATCCTGCCCTCAGCTCTGCCAGTGTAAATCCAAAGCTGCTCCACTGACTTCACATCTGGCTCTTTATTCGGAAAACAAGATTTCATAGCCCTGCTTTGGTTTGCTTTATCCAGCTTCTTTTTGGGTTTCTGTTTGTTCATTCCCCTCTTTATTTTTTAAAGATTCCAAACTAGCTACTAAATTAACTCACAGCAGTAAGGAGGTCATCAGAAATGTGCCAAGGGACAGCAGAGCCATCAATGTCCTGGTGCCCAACAGCTGGTGCCAAGGTCACTCCATAGTGGCAAGTGGAGTTTTTCTTTCTATTTGCCTAGTGATTTCTTGCTAATGGTGTGGTATTTCTGGAGGACAGAAAGCCTCTGAGTTAACATTGCTGGAACTGCATGAATTAAAACATATTCTTTAATGAATTCTGGAACTCAGAGGCTGTGTCAGCTCTAAAGATTTTATGTCAGAACCTTATATGTCAATAACATATAAATTATAAGTGCTGTGGTGACTGCATTTGCCAGATTGTACCTGACCCAATTGTGAAAGAACACAGCGAGGAAAAAAGGAGGCAGAAGCAGCAATCCCTAACTATTGCACAGGCCGTATATAGGCTATGTAGAAATGCAGTCTTTGTGCCTTGCTGTCTCCATATTGCTCTGGGGGGACACTGCAAAGATCGGAGGATGAAGTAAAGGCAAGCCCCTGGCTTCGCTAGGTATTGCTAGCCATGAACAGTCAAAAATCACAAGATTAGTGTAAAAATCATGAGACTTTAATAATAATAAAGTAGATGTCCTTCACATTTGCTTTATGATTTTTTAACTTTTAAAGGTTGTGTTTTCAAGTCTTTTTCCACCCCAAAAAAAGCCAAATATATATATATATATATATAAAAATTAAGGTTGACAGTCTCACATATTCACATGTTTCCAGGAGCTAGAGCTTTCTGAGAAAACACTAGATAACAGGAGAGCAAGCAATTGTGTTAGTTTAAATATGTGTACTGGCTAGTAGATCTGGCCAGACTTGCATGTGATAGAAAAGGAGATGAAAAAAAAACTTGACCTATAAAATTGTTCTCCCTCCACACCAGGACATCTATGCTTAATATGTATTTATTAAATGATTTTTCTTGCAAGGGGATGATGAATTATCCAGTAATTTATCACTTACAACTTTTGCAGGAGGTGAAAATATGGGTTGTAGCAGGAATTGCAGAGGTTTTGCTGTAGTCAGCATGTTTGGCCTTTGCAAGTAACCCAAGTTAAATGAATTCAACCGTTGTCTGAAGGTTGACATTATAACTCTAGTTTCTGCATGAAAATGACTTCAGAGTCAGAAACAGAGATGTATTTTGAAGGAAATGTATGCCTTTCCATACCCAAATCACTTTGTTTTTGTCCATGCTAACACAGCCTTCCCCTTTTGTTATAATGATGCAGCCTGCCTTTTATTCTGTCTCTGATCAGTTTTGCTTGTGCTGATATAATTTTGCTCTCATATTTCTAAACTAGGATGTGTATCTGAATGTTTTCAGTCGATCAGGTTAGACTGTGCCACTCACAAGGATCACAAAGATAATATTGAAACAGCTGGACTATCTCAGTAACTGAAGTAAGGCCAACTTTCTTTTTAATCTGTAATGTATCCAGAAGTTTAAATAGAAAACAAAACACGTCAAATTTCTTCAGCTGGCCATGGACCGTGACACACCCTTTAAGTTTCCATTGCTTTGTATCCCATCTCTAGTTTTTCTCACCAGAAAAGAAAAACAATATCTGGAAGAGAGGGAAGATATGACAAAGAATGGTGTCTCTGCAATTCTTTTTAGAGCCGAATCTGTATAGTCTCATAGATTCATAGATTCATAGATTTAGGGTCGGAAGG